GTTTAGAGCTAGGGTTTTTGCGGCGGGTCGGAGGGGGGAGGGGAGAGACACACCGACACGGCCGGGGGGAGGAGAGAGAGTGTGGGTGGCTAGCTATTGGGTGAACGGGGGAGAAGCTTTTGCTTAGGGAGGAAGGAGGGGTGGCTATGTTGCAGAAACCCCCCTCCGGTATGGTGGGAATTACGGGGCGCTGTAAATGGGCTGACGACCTCAAGCCCAGTGTGGATCCAGCCTGCCCATTCTTGTCCACATTCTCTGGAAAAGAAAAGGTTCTTGTCCACATGCACATGATGACACGTTTCACTGAGGGGGGAAAACCTAATGGCACGTGAGAAAATGGCAACTCGGCATCCTCACATGGCGTAGTAGCTTTTTTTTTTTGCGTAGGTCCAAGAATAATGCACGTATACCAAACTTTGTTTTAGAGATGGCTTTGAAAAACGGAAGCTGTTACTCTTGTGTATAATAACATGAATAATATATATATATATATTCCTCAGATAGTAAGGCCTTATTCCGTCTGTATTATGACTATAAAGGAATTGATATTAAAATGGAACTTTAAAATTTTACAAAATGCTCTTGTAGCTCAGTTGGCTCTCGCACCCGTTTAGTAAGCGAGAGGTCTTGAGTTCAACTCTCAACGAGAGCATTGTAGTTGTTTTATTTCTTTTGTATTTCAAGCTGTTGAACTTTAGTCTTCTTTTTTTCCATCTCGAAATGCTCAAACTGTTTCTCTCTTCGATGCTTCTCATTAATTGTGATGTTATTTTCTCTTCATGTAATGATCACAAAAAATCGACTAGACCTGAACTTCCATCTAATTAACAAATCTAGCTATGTTTAATTGGTTGGATTTGCAAATCTAGGCGATGGTTTTGACCTAATAATTGCCCATTACTACCCTCTTCTCGAAATTAAACAAAGTTCAACACAATTATAGGCTTTGCCCTTTTGGGAACTTTTTGCTCTCTTTTATTTGAATGATTCTCGTTAATACCCTCTAACCGACAAGGAACTTATGGCATGTACTATGATTGTCAGAAAGTCACCATATCTTTGTTGAGGATGCAACAATTGCCCATTACTACCCTCTTCTCGAAATTAAACAAAGTTCAACACAATTATAGGCTTTGCCCTTTTGGGAACTTTTTGCTCTCTTTTATTTGAATGATTCTCGTTAATACCCTCTAACCGACAAGGAACTTATGGCATGTACTATGATTGTCAGAAAGTCACCATATCTTTGTTGAGGATGCAACCATTGCTGATCAATAGGAGGACTGACAAATGGAAGTAGTCTAATTCACCACCCAAGGTATTTTGTAGCATAAATTAGGCGTAACTCAATAAGATTGTTGGGTTTGGCACTAAATCCCTAATAATTTCCCAATACTACCCTGTTCTCGAAATTGCCTCCACTAATGTGCCCAAAAGATATCGAAACTGCAGTTGTTTTATTTCTTCTCCATTTCAAGATGTCGAACTTTAGTTGGGTTTTTTCTTTGCATTTCGAGACGTTCAAATTGTTTCTATCTTCGATGCTTCTCATTAATTGTGATGTTATTTTTTTCATGTGATGATCACAGAAAATCGACTAGACCTGAACTTCCGTCGAATTAACAAATCTAGCTATGTTTAATTGGTTGGATTTGCAAACCTAGGTGATGGTTTTGACCTAAGAATTGCCCATTACTACCCTCTTCTCGAAATTAAACAAACTTCAACACAATTATAGGCTTTGCCCTTTTGAGAAATTTTTGCTCTTTTTTATTCGAATGATTCCCATTAATACCCTCTAACCGACAAGGAACTTATGGCGTGTACTATGATTGTCAGATTGTCACCATATTTAGTTGGGGTTTTTTTGCGCATTTCGAGCTGTTCAAATTGTTTCTCTCTTTGATGCTTCTCATTAACTGTGATGTTAAATTTTTTCCATGTAATGATCATAGAAAATCGACTAGACCTATACTTCCATCTATTTAACAAATCTAGCTATGTTTAATTGGTTGGATTTGCAAACCTAGGCGATGGTTTTGACCTAATAATTGCCCAATACTACCCTCTTCTCGAAATTGAACAAAGTTCAACACAATTATAGGCTTTGCCCTTTTGAGAACTTTTTGCTCTCTTTTATTCGAATGATTCCCGTTAATGCCCTCTAGCCGACAAGGAACTTATGGCATGTACTATGATTGTCAGACTGTCACCATATCTTTGTTGAGGATGCAACCATTGTCGATCAATAGGAGTACTGACAAGTGGAAGTAGTTGAATTGACCACCCAAGGTATTTTGTAGCATAAATTAGGCGTAACTCAATGAGATTATTGGGTTTGGCACTAAATCCCTAATAATTTCCCAATACTACTCTCTTCTCGAAATTGCCTCCACTAATGTGCCCAAAAGGCCCATTTAACTTTTCTCTATGAGGCCTTCAACAATTTCTATTAGCCCATGACCCCTAAATAAATCCTAGGGTACTCCCAGTAATTACCGGAGCCCTCTTATATTTATATTAGGTACCCATAAACATTTTCTACCTATCTGGCTTTACCCGGTATTATCCGGTATGCCCCAAAACTCTTCATGTAACTCTGGAGCGCTTTCGGTCACTCTCAAACTATTTCTTTTATTACCAAAACTTTTTGGGCAATATTTTCTCATATTCCTAGCTCCTATAGAACTAACTCCTTAGGTGTATGACCTTGTAGGTTCGGTGAAATATATACATGAACAAAACTTCCTTTTGTTCAATGACCAACAGTCGAACTGTGGACATCCATGTTGACCCCTATACTCACATGAGTGATATTCAAGTGAACCTTTAGTTATCATATGTTATTGCTTTTGCTTCACAATACTTTACAAACCCCAAGGTGACATATATATGTGTCCCCATAAGTCATACACGTGCTCACTATACCGGTCTCCTCGTTACCGGTTTTGTTCTTGTTTCTCACATCGTGTTCCGGCATCCCTATGAGCAACTCACCTGCATCTGGCCAGACGATGATGGATGTCGTCACATCAAGAGGGCCCTATGAATATCTCTCCATCGTCGGGGGAGCAAATTCCACTCTTGAGCTATCTAGTCCCTTGCCATACGTTTTCTGATAAACCTGTAAGTTGTCATTATGATTGATGTTTTTTTGAACTACGTCAGTATTTCCCCAAAGAGGAAGGGATGATGCAGCACAGCAACGGTAGGTATTTCCCTTAGTGATGAGACCAAGGTTATCGAACCAGTTGGAGAACCATGCAACTCCACGTAAACATCTCCTGCACACAAAGAACAAATACTTGCAACCCGACGTAGGAGAGGGGTTGTCAGTCCCTCACGGGTAAAAAGATAGATAAAATTGTAGTAGATTGGATTAATAGATCTCGCAGGAACGCGAGATAAAATAAATTACTAAAAATTGTAGCAAGGTATTTTTGGATTAATAGAGCTTAAAATAAAAGCAACTAAAAATAGATCTTGAAGGCAAATATGATAAAGAAGAGACCGGGGGCCGTAGATTTCTCTAGTGGCTTCTCTCGAGGAAAATAGCATACGGTGGGTAAAAAAATTACTATTGGGCAGTTGATAGAACTTCAAATAATCATGACGATATCCAGGCAATGATCATTATTGTAAGTGCATCTAGTGCCACTCCTAATTGGTTTTGGAGTATTGACGACAAACCTGGTTGAGGGACTAATGTGTTTGTGAGAATTGCAGGATAACACAGGTAGTAGTCCCTCATTGATTCTGTTTACCTACCGGAGATGACCCCTAAAAATGTGTGAAGACATTGAAGACAATGGTGGTCTGTGAAGATATTCACATTGAAGACTATGACATGAGAAGACATTGAGTGAAGACTATGGAGCGCGAAGACTTAGTTGTTTCATTGTTTCTTTTTCTTCTTTGTTGAGTCATAGGAACCACTACACTATTAAGTGGGGTCCAAGTGAACAAAGTCAGAGTGACTGAAGTGATGCTCAACCAAATCCTATGTCTTCGAGCGAAGACAATGAGAGAAAATCTTATCCAGAGTCGGATGAGTCGGCTTTACTTGTAGCCCAAGTCAAGCTGCCGCGTGTGTTTGAAATCTGACCGTTGTGACACATGTCAGTTCCTTAGTGACCCAGGTTCATTTCGGACAAATCCCGTCGGGTTGCCCAGTGGCTATAAATAGCCCACCCCCTACACCATAAATTGGTGGCTGCTCAGAGTTAGTACACGACTTTTGTCGTTTGAGAGCAACCCATCGCCGAAGCTTTCGAGAGAGAATCCTTGCGAGGACAAAGCCCAAACCACCCAGAGCCCAAAGAGTGTTTGGCATCACTGAAGTCTTTCTGTCCGCGTGATCTAAAGACTTGTTACACTTGAGGACTGTGAATCCTTCAGCCAGTTAGGCGTCGCATTCTGAGCATCCAAGTGCCATTGTGGATTGCCGGTGAACGAAGTCTGTGAAGGTTCGGAAGTCTACCTTGAAGACTTACCAGAGTGATTAGGCGGGGACTAAGTGTCCTTAGCTCAAGGGGAATAAGGTGAAGACGCAGTCTTCTGAGTTGAATCTCAGCCTCCCTAACTAGACGTGCAGTTGTCACAGCAACTGAAAATGGTCGAACAAATCCCTGTCCATTTGAAGC